TACCACACAGCTAGGGCTGGATAATTTTCAGTGTCGGCATCAACAACTGGTGAGTAAGGTTCAAACAAAAGAACAAATTCTGCCTTCATTTACCCCATGCTGTACTACCGCAGAGGAGGTTGGAGGTCAGAACAAGCTACACCATCACTGACGTTGGAAAGAGATGGGCAGTATGGAATTTTTATTACTGGAATTGTGTGTAAAACCTGCAACATAACCGTGTCATTCCTAGGTGTAGGCTGGTTAGATGCTAAGGGAACCCTTGGACACACATTTTTTGAGCAAACCTAACCTGATTTTGGAGACAGAATGAGCAGAATACTGATGCATTCTTATGGGGTTACTTTTCAGTGGATGCCTGCCCCTGCAGGACTGCTTTGAGACCACTGACTCATTTCTTAGGGGTCATAAAACAGCTATTCATAGCTAATTGCTTTTGTCACTTGCTCTCCTGAACTAAATCTGAACTCCCTTGAGAAAAATTGCCGCTTGCCTTATCTTTGGCAAAAGCCAGGACACAGACAAATGATTGCATTTCTTTTAAAACTACTTCAGTGGTGACTTTGTATGCACATTTTTGAAAGTGTTGCTAAAACGCAATACTACTGCTTTAAGGTCAGAGCATTAGTGTAACTTAATGTAAAAATTGTAACTGGTTATGGCAAAAGCATTTCCCTGCTGTGGTTTTCACACTCTTCAGAAATACTCGGTAAGTGAGTCCTTGTGCCCGATTATGGCAGAAATTACCACCTGTATAATACAGATGCAAAATTGAGGTGTACTGAGGGTGTTAAAACAGAGCTGACTTGGGGATTTCCCTTAACACTTCTCCCCTTCACCACACTACCTCTTTGCCTGAGTTTGGATGCTGTTTTCAGCCTGGGCTAGGCCATCTAATAGCAGGCATAGGTCAGAGGCACAGGCTCTACCATTACTGATACCGGTCATGCTGGTCACTGGATTTGCTTTGTATTGCAGATGCAGGTTAGATCACTTAAGCACTGAAAGGATTCCAGTGCCTTCCCACAATTTTCTGTGTGGCCACAAGACTGTTTTTCTCCAATGCAATGGGAAAGAGGCCTGGAGC